GAGAGAGAGAGAGAGAGAGAGAGAGAGAGAGAGAGAGAGAGAGAGAGAGAGAGAGACGGCCTTGCGCGCGGAAGGGGGTCTACTGCCACGTGGAGAGAGAGAGAGAGAGAGAGAGAGAGAACGCGCCGGTCACATCGCGGTTCACGTCCGGTCACGCCGGTGAACGGAATTGTGAACGGCGGGTGTTAACGTTGGGGTAGCGGCCCCTCGACGGTTCCGGGCGCGGGTCCTCTCTCTGGGACGTTCACAATCCCTCGATGGTTCCGGGCCCCCCAGGCAACCGGCGACCCATCGGGAAACAATTCATAGGGGGGGGGGGGTGGATATGACAGGGAAAAACAAAAAGGGGGAGGGAATGGCAGGGAAAAGGAAAAAAGGGGAAGGGGAGGGCGCCAAGGAGGCCTTTGTGCCGGTCAAGGACGACGACCAGCGCGAGGTTATTCGCCGCTGCTGCATATTCAAGTACTTGACGAAGGGTCAGACGCTGGAGAGTTGCAAGGGCAACTTCAAGATGAAGTGCCGCTTCTGCGACAAACCACCTTTCCAGGGCAGTCAGGCGCGGGGTGCTGAGCACTTCACGAAGGGTAGGTGCCCCAAGGTGACACCAGAGGTCCTCGTTGACATTTGGAATACCACACAGTACCCTTTCGACCAGCGGCGAGAGAGACAGGTGCGGGATTACATGGAGTATCGTGGCATCCGGAATAACAGAGAGGTGGGAGTTGGAGTGTCGGAGGATGACGAGGTGCAGGATGTTTTGGACAGGGAGGGGGTGGACAACGAGGGAGGACAGTGTGGCGGCGAGGACGATGAGATGGACACAGGGGCGGAGGGTGGGGGCGAGGGACCGACGGAGGACGGTGGTGAGGGATGTTCAGGAGTTAGGAGCGTCCCTTCAGGGAGGATCATTGAAGGCACGACGCACTGCTCATCAGACAAGGACTCGTGCGCCTATGGATGGCCGTGGGAAGAGGAGGGCGGACAGCGCTCCTGCGGCACTCGTGCCGGACCCGAAATGTTTGAAGCAAGTCAGACTGGATGAGATGTACGACCCGGAGTGGCAGACCACCTTCGACCATCTCTTCCTGCAGTGGTGGTATATTGGCGGTGTCCCATTTAAGAGGGCGAGGATGCCCGAGTACAGGGCCCTCACGAGACATTTGCAGAACATGCCCCGGGGCATGAAACCTACTTTGCCCCAGTTCAAGCGCATAGCAGGCAGTGGCATACAGGAGGAGCGTGCATACATAGCTGATAAGCTACGTGACATACGCGAGCACATGCAGCACACAGGGGCTACCATCCTCACGGATGGGAGGAAGTCCCTGAGCTCTGAGCCCATCGTGAACTTCCTGGCAGCAGGACAGTCGGGCGCCTTCCTTTTCACGACGGTGCCCAGGGAAGGGGTTGACGCAGAGACGTCAGACATCGTCTTGCAGCGCTGGAAGAAGGTGTTCGAGAAGTTCGGCGTGAAGAACATCAACGCCATCTGCACGGACTCTACATCATTTTATGTCGTCGTCGGTCGAGCGCTTTGCAACGATCCGGATCCAAATATCCGTCGCATCCCTTGGCTCCCTTGTTCTGTCCATTGCTGCAACTTGATGTTGTCAGACATGGTCAAGGATAAGACATGGGCTATCGAGTTGTTGACCAGGGCGAGGGCGGTTGTCCGATTCATTAGATGTTACGGATCGGCTCTCGCGTTGTTCAGGAGTTACAGCGCGAGGGCCGATCGCGATGCACGTGCGGACCGTTTGGGTGGCAGCGCCGCGGGCGGAGAGGGGACAGTGGGCAGACCACGACGCGACCAAGAGTTGTTGTACCCCTGCCAGACGCGATTCCCGTCTATCTACATCATGATGGAGAGGTTGCGCGATCGCAGGGTTCCACTTGAGACGATGATGTTGGAGGGGGATTGGGCGCGACTTCCATGGGAGAGGAGGCTACTCGGGCAGGCCGGGTGGGTGCGCACGCAGGTGCAATGTGGGCTGTTTTGGGAGGAGATGGATGATCTCATCGACCTCTTCACCTCGATCGTGCAGTTGTTGAGGATGTTGGACCAGGGGGGTTGGGTGATCTCTTGCATCTTTCGGTGGGTGACCCAGTTGGCCGAGGAGATTCGGAAGTTGGAGTCGACGAGACCTCGCCTGGTTGGCATGCTGAAGGATTGTTACGCTCGTGCATGCCATCTGCTCGAGCCCGCCCATGCTGCCGCCCATCTTCTTAATCCCAAGAGGCGGAACTTCGTTTACTTCCATTCTCCGAGGCGCACCGATCAGCAGAAGAAGGTGGCGGAGATGACACTTGAGTACATCTACACGCAGACGGGCTTCGACCGGCAGGGAGACAGGTACAGGTTGGTCCGTCAGCAGTTGTACGACTTCCACGCGCGCGGGCCGAGGTATGATTGAGGTGGAGATGCAGGCACTTGAGACGAGGACACGTGCGAGGGGCCGGATGAGACACAGGCCATTGCTGACTGGTGGGTTTTGCACGGCAGCTGTGCCCCTGAGCTGTGTGCCATCGCCACACGTCTGATGTACACGTGGGTCTGCGCCTCTCCTGCGGAGAGGAACTGGGCGTTGCACGAGCGTATCCACGAGAAGCGCCGCAACGGGTTGGACTTCACGAAGCTGACTGAAATGGTGGAGATGTGCACGAACAAGAAGCTCCTGGCGTGTAGACAGAGGAGGAGGGGACTTGTTCTGTCGTGGGGTGATCTTGAGGAGGGGTTGGACGACGTCCCGGAGCCGCGCAGATCAGGCACTCTGCCGCCGGGGTCATTGACGGACGAGGAGATTGCGCGCCAGGCGCGCAGGATGCAGCGTGCCTCGACGGTTCGCCACCCCCCTGCGGTTCAGACTGTGTTTGGTCGTCGTGCAGCTCATATCGAGCTGTACCACGAGGAGATCGAGTACGATCCATCCACGGACCCGCATGCTGCAGACGAGATGGAGGCAAAGCCCTGGACGGACCCGGAGGACTTGGAGCAGAGAGGCAGTGACACGCCTGATGTTGGTGATGAGTCCGACGGAGAGAGTGATCATGAGGCTGTCAGTGATATGCGTTCGCGGGATCGGCAGAGCCATTGTGATGTTGATCGCATGACCCCTCCCTTGACTAGGAGTGCGACGGATAGAGGGCGCAGGCAGACACAAGTTGTGCGCTCGTCGAGCGAGGACGAGGGAGGTGACAGGTTTGACGACGGAGATGCCGCCGATGACGAGGACTCCGACGTCGAGAGAGAGGGACCCGACCGGGACAAAGGACATGGGGACGAGCATGGATTCGACGGCGGTGACGGCAGTGGGCCGATTGAGGACGGAGCGGGTGGTGCCTTACTTGTTACTCCTGGCCGCAGTGCAGCGGGTGGGGGTGGTAGCGGCGGACATGGATTTGGTTTGGAGGTACAGCAGGGATCGATTCCCTCAGGCATTTTCAGTGACGGCTTCGACCCTGGACGTCCACCCACTTCAGATGCTCGGCGCAGCGGGGTGCGTGTTCAGACACCGGTGAACGAAGTCGCACACCTCATAGGGTCGGTTTTTGGTGGTGCTAGTTGAGGTTTGTTGACAGAGGCTGCCAGAGCGTCAGGCGAGATACAGGAGGGCAGGACTGGTGACGACGTCGGTCGTGTTACCAGGAGGCTACATATGGACCCTGAGGACGTGCTTGAGGAGGAGCGTTTGGCACGGATGGTGACGGGGTGTGCCACGACACAGCGGCTTGCGTTGGAGTAGGACACGACCAGGGCGAGGGAGATGGGGTGTAGTGTAGAGGAGGTAACTGCCGCCAGACTAGCAGCAGACTGTAGACACGGTGGTCCTGCAGATGTTGCAGATGGTGGAGGACTCTACACAGAGGGACACGTGGTGGATCGTGCAGACGACCACCAAGAGGACGCGAGGGTAGGGTTAGGTGGTTTACGTGGGGCCAGCGACACGGTACTACCCACTACTGATGAGGCGGACGGGGGCGACGGCGCAGCCACGACAGACGCAGGGGGGTTGCTTGGGTGCGATGGCACGGAGGTGGAGGGGCAGGTGGATAGAGCACTTGTCGGCGTTGCCGTTGCCGCAATGGAGGATGTGGTCGCAGTGGATCACACTCAGGATGGTCTTGTTGCGGTGGATGCTATGGTTGCACATTGCAACGAGGAGGAGAGACAGGTGGACCCCGGGGATGTTGTTGCACACCCTGTAGAGGCACACGTGCCCAACATGTCCCCACTCGAGCGCCACACTGCTGGGATTGATCCAGTGATGGGCAGGAGCAGGCATATATCGAAGAGGCTTTGGTAGGCTGTGCCTCCATCTTCTTTCATGCCTGTTAGTCCGCCAGCACCCTCGGGGGTATCGGGGGATATTTGGAAGACTATGGAGATGGCCGACTTGTTCGAGCAATTGACAGGTCAGAGGGTTATCGAGTCGGGAGGGGTATCATGGGGAGTAGGGCCAGTTGCTGCAGGGACACGACCAGCATGTGCAGGGCCGGTGAGTGGACGGGGAGGTGAGTCTGGTGGCAGTATTGTCGGCGGGGGAGGTGGTCCCGCAGTTGTCGGCGGACGGTCGGGCCTTTCAGGCGGGAGTGTTGGTTGGGGAGATGGTTCTGCTGCGCCGGCGACGGCAGGAGGGCGCGAGCAAGTGCAGGGTTCTCCATCACCTTCATCGAAGGCGAAGGGGAAGTCCGTATCGTGGAGCGGCATCAGCAGGGTCACCCGCAAACTCAAGGATGCTATGCCTGGGGTCACGGGTGAGAGGAGGGATCGTGAGGGGAGGTTGACAGAGATGTTTGCGGATGCAGCAGGCTGGGTACGGAAGGGAGACAGGTTGGAGCATCCTGGTGCCGGGTCATCGTGTGCTGCAGATCAACGGGGCAGCACGATGGTTGCACCGCCGTCACAACCGCCCACAGCAGGTGTGGCACAGCGAGATGGTCATCGACGTCCGAAAGGGCGACCTTCCACACGTGCTTTGCCAGGTGCCCAACCACCCCCAGCATTGGTGGAGGATGACCCTAATCCTGTCACTTTGCAGACGAGTCGTGGAGGTTGTATTTCTACTGCACACACGATACTGGATGAGGAGCCGCGACGTCAGACAGGTACAGGACCGGGCAGTCGTCGAGCTGCTGGGGGCCGCACGGAGGATTCAGCGACGGATGGGGTGCCCATGCCTAGGGGTAGGAAGACATACACGACTCTGACTGGCGTTTTGGGACGTTCTGCTGGAGGGGGTGTTGAGAGAGAGGCGGAGGTCCAGGAGGCAGAGAGGGTGGCAGCCAGAGCAGTTGCCAGTCATGCCGTGTCTGCGTCACAGCATCCAGGGGAGGGAGAGGAGACGGCGACGAAGGTGGCGGCGAGAGCGCATCATCGACGATGATGACACAGACGAGGGGCAGTGCGATGCGCCGTAGACTATGACTTCGATTTCGAGTCGATGATGTTTGTGTGTATCTTTCTTCATTTAGAGTTTCACAAGTTTCGTTCTTCTTCTTGTTTTTTTGGTTTTATTTTTTAGTTATTCTTCTTTTATAATATTTCCTCTTGTTTACTTTTTTTTTTTTTTCCATATTGACACTACTGTGCGACTCCGTGCATTCATTGAGATTTCATGTATTTTACCATGCTTCCACTTCCTTTAGTTACTTTGGTTACTTCATATTTTCATTGTTCAGTTTTTTTCTTTCTATGGCTTTTGTGTTTGTGTATTTCGGTTTGTTGTACTGTCTTCATTGAGGTAACCATGCGGGAATGTCTGGGGAGGGGTAACATGTCTGGGGGGGTGTGCGGGAATGTCCGGGGAGCAGTAACATGGGTTTACAGAGGGGTATGTGGGAATGTGGGAGGAGGGGTTACTTGGCTTTAATGACGGCATTTAGGGGTATGTGGGAATGTGGGGGGGGGAGGGGCCGAGGGTCTGGTGCGTCGGTGGCACTTCGTGAGGGTTGTAGGTGGCACTGGGGGATTCGGGCTCGACGCGTGGTAAGGGTCGGGGTCGTGTTTCGGGC